ATTCAGAAAAGCAGTTGTTTCAAGTTAGTGTTGGTAGGAATAATAATAATAATAATAATAATAATAATAATAATAATAATAATAATAATAGTAATAATAATAGTAATAATAAAGTTGGAAGGGACCTTGGAGGTCATCTAGTCCAACCCCCTGCTCAGGTTGGAAACCCTATTCCATTTCAGACAAATGGTTGTCCGGTCTCTTCTTAAAAACGTCCAGCGTTGGAGCATTCACTGCTTCTGGAGGCAGGTTGTTCCGCTGGTTAATTGTTCTGTCAGGAAGTTTCTCCTTAGTTCTTGGTTGCTTCTCTCCTTGATCAGTTTCCATCCGTTGCTTCTTGTCCTGCTTTCAGGTGCTTTGGAGAATAGCTTGACTCCCTCTTCTCTGGGGCAGCCCCTGAGATACTGGAACACTGCTATCATGTCCCCACTTGTCCTTCTCTTCATTAAACTAGACATCCCCAATTCCAGCAACCGTTCCTTGTATGTTTTAGCCTCCAGTCCCCTGATCATCTTTGTTGCTCTTCTCTGCACTCTTTCTAGCGTCTCAACATCTTTTTTACATCGTGGTGACCAAAATTGGATGCTGTATTCCAAGTGTGGCCTTACCAAGGCATTGTAAAGTGGTATTAATACTTCACGTGATCTTGATTCTATCGCTAAATAAAATGAGTGCTGTGTGGAGTGAGTGAGCCATGTACAACAAATGACAACTTGATTTAAAAAAAAAGCCCTTTGCCACACGATGGTGCTGCTGTATTGTCACTCAAGGTTCGGTGAGATTAGAACCTTTTGTTTCAGAGATGTTATTAATTATATCTTAGTTGTTGTATTGATATCTTCAGTAAACACACTGCATTCAGCAGAGGGGTTGTGTCTTCTGGCATTGTCAAAAAATCAATCTAGAGACTACAGGGATTAGTAAGACTTGGGGTGCATAGATTCTCATTCCAAGGAGAAGCTGGATCCATGATGCTCCTAGGGGTTTTTCCAAAATTTGAAGGAGATTTGGTTGCATAATGTCAAGCATGTGAAAATCAGGACGTCCGGGCAGTTCAAATGAATATAAAGGTTTATTGCAAGCTTATGTTCTCTACAAGAAGATGAACTACTAATGGTCAAGGCAAATTGGTGGTAGATAATGGAATTCAAGGTGGGCTGGACTGTTGTGGGCATGAACGGACTCCAAATTAATGACATGCTTGACGCCTCCCTCATGTTCAGCCTGGTCACTTCCTACATAGATATTTCCAACTAAGATACTTTATTAAACATCATAAATGTTTGTGAACTGAAGCTCTATTAGGTCCGTTGACTAGTTTAACTGATAGAATGAAGTGGGAAGGCAAAAGAGAAGGGACAAAGCACTGTTGAAAGAATGGTTTGCCTGTAGTATTTCTCTGTTTCAAACTCAGCACTAGAAATATATAATTTATGTGGGCGGAAAGAAGATTAGGATAATGTTTCCTCACCCATCTTAATGGCCTTTTTTTGATTCACAATTAGCTTCAGGTTGAACAGGATCTACGAATTCTGGCAAAACACCATTGCCATAATGACACAAAGAAATAATAGATATTGGAGTGTTAAACTATTTTTCTTTTTTTTTAAAAAAAAAACTTGGAAAATTGATGTCCAGATATTTTCTTAATAGTTTTGATGGATGCTGTGACTTCTTGGCACATATCAGACTCCAAAACTAAGAAAAGGCACATTGAAACACTTCACAACACTTCTCTTCATTGTTCCTCACCTATAGATAGAAATCTTGCCAAACTAAGGCAACTTCTTGAATCATTAAAGAACTTTTAAGGAAGAACTATCTTGACCCTCTTTCTACCAACCAACTATCTAAACTTTGCTGTCTCTTGGTCCTCTGGAATGCAGCCCCTCCCTCCTAGGAATCCAGACTACATTCCATCATAGCCCTTGAAAACATGCAATCACTATCCAGAAAGCCTTCACTCAAGAAGTTCATTTAAGATCTTCTGTATATTGGGACAGCCCAGTCTAGTAAGAGAGTTTTTGTTTCACTTCTTTATTTGAATCAAGCACTGTGTACCCGCTCCCAGTCCAGACGGCACAGTAATAAGTAGCCTCATCTTCACCCAAAGTTCCTGCAATGGTCAGGGACATGGTGTTCCCGGAGGTGGTCCCAGTGAAGCGGGCTGGGACACCAGTTGGCCTGCTGTTGCTGGTAGCAACTAAGAGCTTTAGAACTTTCCCGGGCTTCTGCTGGAGCCATCGAAGGTAATTGTTGTCCGATATAGTTCCACCACTATAGCTACAGGACATGGTGACTGTGCCATGTATAGCTACAGATTCTGAATTCTTCAGGCTCTGCAGCTGCTGGACACTGGTCCCTGAAAGAGAATATGGTTTGTTTTAAAAAAATAATAGCAACAGTTCTACACTGTGGTATATAATAGCATGACAATCAACATTCGCTTGCACTATGCTTCCTATGAAAAATCACCAAAAGAGTTATCTCTTCATTCCCCTGATTCTCTTGTCTCACCAAAGGAGGACAAGATGGTGAAGAGCAGAAGAATCCAAGCCATGGTGGGTGGTGAGGTCTTCTTCCCGAATCTAAAGATCACTACATGTCTTCTGTCAGGTCTCTCTTAAGCCCCTAGAGGTGAAGAATGCAACCAGCATGCAAATCAGGTGTCTATTTAAACAATGCTCATCTCTGCACCTTGTTGATCAAGAGGTGATGTTTGTGAACTTGCTGACAAAGAGGCACACTGGTGAAATAAGAGTTCAGAGCAGGAACTGGAGAATCCTAGAATGAAATCCCAAATTCATCATTAAGATCGTTGAGTTGCCTTCAACCATGATTCTCATTCAGCCTATTTCACTGCTTTCAATTATTACGAAAATAGAGACCATCAACATGGCTTTGTAGACAGTAAAATAAACCAGCATTAGAAGCACCCTTTGAGCCTCGTTGGCCATTCCTAAATTGGATTGCAATTCTTTCCCATGACATTCTATTGTGTTTTGCATTTTACTCAGTTTCTGAAATTTCTTGCTCCTTAGAAAGGAAATATCTTGAAAAAGGTCATCCTTGAATACATGCCATGTTTTCCTCTGCACCAAAAAGTGCTGGAATATGAATCAGTAGTAATGTACTCTTCTGAGTTTAGTTAATTTTCTCCTGTGCTTTTCCTTCCGGGCTGTGTTCTGTGATGTAAACCAGCCTTGCTATTAGACTTCAAATAGAGATTGGGGTTATTTAGCGAGGAAATGTGTCATTGTCTCATTGCAACTGTCAGTTGGAATACCCAGCGTCTGAAACCAAAACTCTTCTGTAGATGAAAGTGACAGACTAAGTTTAGAAAGTATGGCAATCCTGACCTCTACTGGTCCTATCATTATAGTGTCAACACCCAGCTTGAGATTCCAAATAAAACTCCTGGTTCATTTCCAAAAATTCTTACTGTTTATTGAATACACAGCCTGGTTCTGTCAAAGAAAAACTAACTCTGAGGCTCTAACACCAATTCATAGACTTAAACAATAGTTCTCCCAGCCAAACCCCCAACGTCTTACATAATCCATATCAACAAGTCCACTTTGTTATGGGAAACGTCTGCTTCAAATCCACACCTGTTCTGGTGTCCTTGACAAGGCTTCAAGCTCTCTCAGTCTGCAGCTGAATCAAAGAAGCTTTGTTTCTCCATCTACCCATTTGAAAGTAACACCTCCTCCCCCCCTTCATCTAAAGGCAAGTTGGAGCGCAGAGGTACGTAGCTACCAAAGTTTCATCCTTGACATATAGCCTCAAAGTAATTTTTGGTGCTGGGAAAGACAGGAATCAGAATCATAGAATTATAGGGCTGGAAGAAACCTTGGAGGTCTTCTAGTCCAGCCCTCTGCTCAAGGCAGGAGACTTTGTACCCTCCCAGTCAAATGGCTGTCCAATCTATTATGGAGTACCCATAACTCTAGGAGGCAAACTATTTCTTTGATTATTAGGATGTACATTAATATACTATACTACTGTCAACATAACATTCTCCCTCATCATCATCCCAGAATGCATGTGTGTGTTTGTGAGTGTATGTTGGTTGGTTGAGTCTACTGATATGAATAGAAATCAAAGTTGAATTAACAGAATAACAGAGTTGGAAGGGACTTTGGAGGTCTTCTAGTCTAACCCTCTACTCAAGCAGGAAACCCTATATCATGTCAAACCAATGGTTGTCCAATCTCTTCTTCAAAACATCCTGTGATGGAGAACTCAAAACTTCTGTGTTCAGTGTTTGGTGATTTTTCATCATCTTCCTCTGCTGATAGATGCCTTGAGCAACCAAGCATCCTGTTCTTGTATCAGTTCCTCCTAGAACTGCATCGCCGTGTGCACATCAAGTTTGTTGTTCCATGTGCTGCAGTAATAATCCGCCTCGTTTTCCACTTGAACGCCAGTGATCACTAGATTCCAGAGGTTCTGGGAGCGATCAGGGGAAACACTGAATCTGTTTGGGACCCACAGTTCCCCTGCCTTGATCAGTGCTGGTATAATAGTGATACGGAAACCATGGAACGCCACCTGGCTCTTGCACTAGTAATGGTGTTGCCACTGCTCATTGTGCAAGGGATTCTAACCGTTGATTCTAGAGATGCAGACAGGGTGGATGGTTTAGTTAATATCAACTGGGATTCCAAACCTGTAACCAAAAGAAGAGGGAAGGAGGGAGGGAGATGAGGCAGGAGAGAGAAGGAGGGAGAAGGGAGAGAGTGAAGAAGGGAGAAAAAGATGGAGAAGAATTATGTTCGAATTTGAATTGAAGCCAACAGTAATTTCTCCATACATTTGAATGCCTATATCTGTTCCAAAGTGGTACTTTCATTACACCTTCTCTGGTCCTTTCCTCTGCAGATTGACTACATCGTGAGCAGGAAGCTCAAGAGACCATTCAACTGGTAATGACGCCTGAAGAGAGCAAAGAGAGAGAGAGTTTTTGCCATCCTTCCCCATTGCACTGAATGACTGTGCTATGCACTCCCTGTGTGTACGCAACAATGGTAGATGGCTTCATCTTCTGACAAGGCTCCTGTTATGGTCAGCGACATCACATTCCCTGACTTGGACCCAGAGAAGCGGGCTGGAACATCAGAAGGTTTGACACTGGTCTGGTAAAGCAAGAGCCGGGGTGGTTTGCCTGGATGTTGCTGGACCCACCAAGGGTAATTGTTGTCATTGATGATTCCAGTAGAGTATCTGCAAGATAGGGTGACCGTCCCACCAAGAGGCACCGATTCTGCGTCCTTCAGGCTTTGCAGCTGCTGAAGGCTGAGATCTGCAAGGAAACACAGCAAATAACTGCTTATTTAAGGGACTATGAAGAAGCCTTGACCACCATTTTGGAGAAGACGCGGCTTCTCTCTTCCACCAACTCAAGGGAGCTCACCAATGGTGGCAAGGAATACGACCAGAAAGAACATGCTGCTTATTCGGGGGAGATTTGATACGTTCATCTTCTTGAAGGAAAAGGATCTCCTCTTGGGGTCAACCCCATTGCTCTTAAATCCCCGGAGGCCAAAGCATCGGTTCCTTCATGCAAATCACTTGCACCTTTAACTTCTGTCTCTGGCTGGTGGAACCACCACAAGAGAAACTCTGGCACCCGTTTGATTGATTCTGTGTTGGAAGAGTCTTGTGCATTCTATCTTCTGCACATGGCTGGCTTCAAAGAGACGGTGGTAGAGAGGTTTGATATGATTAAAGGTGAGCACAGTTGAGACTCAAAAACTATTTTCAAAGCAAACTAATTTTTGTGGAATGTAGGATAGTTAGATCTTCTGATAATGGGTAGACTTTATTTCCTTAGTCTCCAGAAAAGCTGTTCTAAGTCAACTCATCAAGAAAAAGCTTGGGATGAATCCTTAGATTCCTCCATATATCATGGAGTAATAGCAATTCTGATTTGGATGGCCAAAGGCCCAGGAATTGCAAATATTCTACAGACTGGCAGTGCATGGAATAATTCTATCCGGGTGTTGAACATCCATTCCAGGCATCACCCTCTTATTCTCAATTTTCATATATAAACTATGTCCTCCTACTTAAGGATTACATTTGATAGATTTCAACCCATAGAGTCCAACTTAAATTTTCAAATCTTCCAGTCAAACAAAGGAGAAAAGTCCCTGTCCCGGATAGTTACATTGACTCTTTCTTTGTATAGTTCTCTTAATCTAGGTCCTCTCAGGATAATTATTTCTTTTCTTTTCTCATATGCCAGAAATGTTCAGTATGGTTTGAGAATTAAGCGCATGAAACTTAGTGATGGTTATTTTAGTAAGAAGAACAACAGCCCCTACAGGCCATTGAAGTACCTACATATCTCCCTCCTCTCTCTTCTCCTTCTCCTCTTCATTCTCCTCTTCCTCCTCCTCCTCTTTTTTATTTTTCCACCTTCCCCTTCACCCTTCTCCCTCCCTCCCTCCTCCTCCTCCTCCTCCTCATCATCATCATCAGAGAACAATGTGACACATGTGATAATGCTCAAATAAAGATGTGATTGAGGATGAGGCTTCACCACAGTGATCATTCAGTGATCAATGCCATCTTTGGCCTATCAAAGATTCCCAAATAATTCCTTTGATGATTTCCCAGAAAATTGGAGATAGTCCTAACTCCAATAGACCATTGATACCAACCAGGTTGATCTATAAGTTCTAAAAAAATAACCAATCCTGTTTAGGGTCACCAAGCATTTTGTACTGGCATTTTGGAAGAACGTTCTAGGGTTCCCCAGAAAATGCTGTTCATATTCATAATGATGATTATCATGGCCAACCCTTCCAAAGGGTTATCTCTCTATCATCTCACCATATCTACTGTATGTCTACTTTGTAGAGTTTAGCAGCAAAGTTGCACTCTGGACATGCTTCAAAGGCCTCTTTTTTATATAGCCCAGGGGTAGGAAACATTGGCTCTTTTATGACTGGTGGACTTCAACTCCCAGAATTCCTGAGCCAGCCATGCTGAGGAAAGAGGTTTCCAAGCTGAGCCATGCTGGCTCAGGAATTCTGGGAGTTGAAGTCCTCCAGTCATAAAAGAGCCAAGGTTGCCTACCCCTGATATAGCCAATCAAATGTCCTATCTCAATGGTGGCCTTTTTTTAGATGTCCTGGATTTGGAGAATTGGCCAGGTATTTGGAGAGGCGGGAGGGAAATGGAAGAAAATCTGTTCTTCTTCCAAAAGGACCCCCCCCCCCAAAAAAAACCACCTCTTCAAATGTGGAGGTTGACTCTTTCCTTTAGGATCCTTTCCTCCGCTGCAATTATTTCATGCTTAGGAATATTCACAACTAGAATGACTTTGTTCAGAAAGTTTTCATCTGCAGTCCGTTTCATGTAAGAGGTACCCAGAGTAATCAAAGTTGCTCATATCCTGTAAGGTTTTTGTCTCACTTCTCTATCTGAATCAGAGACTGTGCGCCCGCTTCCAGTCCAGACACCACAGTAATACACAGCCTCGTCTTCCACTAAGGTCCCTGTGATGGTCAGGGACATGGTGTTCCCTGACCTGGAGCCAGAGAAACGTGCTGGAACGCCTGTGTGTCTGGTGCTGGTGCTGTGTATTAAGAGCCTTGGAGTCTGCTCTGACTTCTGTTGGACCCACACAGGGTAATTGCTGTCAGTGATGGTTCCACTGTCATATCTACAGGATATGGTGATTGTCCCTGCTAGAGCTACAAAATCTGGATCTTTCAAGCTCTGCAATTGCTGGATACTGGACCCTGAAAGAGAACACAGAATTAGGAAGATATTAAAATGAAACTATGCTGCACAGCAGGATGGGATCCACCATTTGCCTGCACTGGATTCCCTACGGGAGAGTCTCAAAAGGGCTATTCCCTCGATTCCGTTTCTCTTACCGAACAAAGTTAGGACTATGAAGATAAAAAGAATCCAAGCCATGATGGAGAACTGGGTGGTCTTCCTGGCAGAAAGACTCTTGAACTGGCATCCACTAAGGTCTCTCTTAAATCCCCAGGGGCGAAGAATGCAACTCTGTATGCAAATGTCCTTTTATTTTAAGAACAAGCATGGCACTGTTGTACATGGAACTGAAGGTGTTTGCCTGCACCCTGTTGGCCTACAAGAGATATTTCTGAGCTTAGAAAAAAAATAAGTGAGCTGGTCCTTTTACAGCATAAAGTGGAACCAGAGGATCCTAAGATGAAGTGTGCATTCTTCCAACAAGTTAGTCGAGCGATCTTTCAATTATAGCCCTTGTTCCTCTTCCTGTCCTATCAAACAGGGTTACCTTGAGGATGAAATGGATAGAGGATACGATCAACTATGTTCTGATGCAATAAGGGTTAGGGTTAAGGTGCAAGAAAAACAACCATCTTGTCAGATATCACTGGAGGGCAGAAGTAATTACAGATGGATTTGTAACATGAAAGGTCTTATAGGTAAGACTTTTATCCAGAATCAACTAGTAACCAAGCTCATGAAGTAGAGATGGGTGGTTATGAATGTGGCAAGGTTCACCCGTAACTACCCATGCTAATGCATGCTGTAGCCACTGATACTTTCAAGGTGTTTGCAATGTCAACCCCATGTAGCATATTCAGTAATCCAATCATGAGGTGTCTGAGATATGAGTGAACATAACCAGGATCTCCCAATCCAGGAGTGGACACAACTGGCATACAGAACGAAGTTATGCAAAGGTCCTCTGAGCCAGAGTTGCCTGCCGCTCTTTGAGCAGGAGGCCTGGGTTCGGGAAGGCACCCAACTTGCACGCTAGGGATCTTTGAGGAAGATCTACCCATCCAGAACCAAAGATGAAAAATCTCCAGATCCAGAAGATCCTGGATTCCACAGTCTTATGAGGAGTCCGGACCTGCTCGCCTGCTCCATTCAGACGTGTGTTAATCGTAACAGAAAGAAAAATAGGAAGGGGTCTTGTATTCTTCTTTCATGATGGGGGGAATTCCAGGAGCTGAAATCCACACCCCTTAAAGCTGCCAAGTTTGGAAAAACACTGCTCTAATCAAGATGTCCATTTCATCTGCAGATTGACTACAACATGAGCAGGAAGCTCGAGAGACCATTCAACTGGCAATGACCCATGAAGAGAGCAAAGCAAGAGAGAGTTTTTCCCTTCCTTCCCCGTTGCACTGAATGACTGTGCCACGAACTCACTGGGTTCAAGCAGCAGTAATACATGGCTTCATCTTCTGCCGAGGCTCCTGTTATGGTCAGCGACATCAGATTCCCTGACTTCGATGCAGAGAACCGGACTGGAACGTCAGACATCTTGATATTGGTGTTGTAAAATAAGAGCCGGGGTGGTTTGCCTGGATGTTGCTGGGCCCACCAAGGATGATTGCCATTAGCAATGCCTCCCAGATTGTATCTGCAAGATAGGGTGACCGTCCCACCAAGAGGCACCGATTCTGCGTCCTTCAGGCTTTGCAGCTGCTGAAGGCTGAGATCTGCAAGGAAACACAGCAAAGAAACGCTTATCTAAGGGACTATGAAGAAGACTTGACCACCATTTTGGAGAAGACACGGCTTCTCTTTTCCACCAACTCAAGGTAGCTCACCAATGGTGGCAAGGAATACGACCAGAAAGAACATGCTGCTTATTCGGGGGAGATTTGATACGTTCATCTTCTTGAAGGAAAAGGATCTCCTCTTGGGGTCAACCCAGTTGCTCTTAAGTCTCCAGAGGCCCAAAGCATCGGTTCCTTCATGCAAATCATTTGCGCCTTTAACTTCTGTCTGTGGCTGGTGGAACCACCACAGGAGAAACTCTGGCACCTGTTTGATTGATTCTGTGTTGGAAGAGTCTTGTGCATTCTGTCTTCTGCACATGGCTGGCTTCAAAGAGATGGTGGTAGAGATGTTTGATATGATTAAGGGTGAGCACAGTTGAGACTCAGAAAATATTTCCAAAGCAAACTAATTTTTTTTGGGGGGGAATGTAGGATAGTTAGATCTTCTGATAATGGGTAGACTCTATTTCCTTAGTCTCCAGACAAGCTGCTCTAAGTCACCCCATCAAGAAGAAGCTTGGGATGGATCCTTAGATTCCTCCATATGTTTTGGAGTACAAGTCTAGTAACTCTGATTTGGATGGCCAAAGGCAAGGAACTGTAAACGTTGTACAGAATGGCAGTGCATGGAATAAACTCTATCAGGGTGATGAACATCCATTCCAGGCATCAGCCCGCTTATCCTCAGTATTCATATATAAACCATTGTTCTCTTGCTTGGGTGCTTAGAATTGGTGGATTTCAACCCAGAGAATCCAACTTAATTTCCAAATATGCCATTCAAAGAGTGGATAAAAATCCTCCCTGATGTTTACACTGATTCTTTTTTAAAAAATACCTTGTCTTGATCTACTTCCTCTAAGGATAATCATTTGTTTTCTCTGCTTCCCTAGGTTCATATGTCAGAAATGTATGCTTTGAGAATTAAGTGCAAGAAACTAAGGAGTGGTTGTTGTTATTGTTGATGATGTTTTGGTAGGAAGAACAAGAGCAGACCCTACTGGCCATTAAAGGACCTACATCTCCTCCTCCTCCTCCTCCTCCTCCTCCTCCATTTGACCAGGATATTATAAGGGCTCCTGCCTTGAGTAGGGGGATGGATTAGAAGACCTTCAAAGTCCTTTCCAGCCCTATGATTCTATGTTCTAAGTTTGAAAAACACTGCTCTAGTCAAAATGCACTTTCATCTTCAGACTGACCACAATATGAACAGGAAGCTTCAGGGACAATTCAACTGTTATCGTTGCATGAAGAGAGCAAAGAGAGAGTTTTTGCCTTCCTTCCCCATTGCACTGAATGACTGTGTTACGAGCCCCCTGGGTTTAAAGAGCAGTAATAGTTGGCTTCATCTTCTGCCAAGGCTCCTGTTATGATCAGCGACATCACATTCCCTGACTTGGACCCAGAGAAGCGGGCTGGAACATCAGAAGGTTTGACACTGGTCTGGTAAAGCAAGAGCCGGGGTGGTTTGCCTGGATGTTGCTGGGCCCACCAAGGGTAATTGTTGTCAGTGATGATTCCAGTAGAGTATCTGCAAGATATGGTGACCGTCTCACCACGAGGCACCGATTCTGCGTCCTTCAGGCTTTGCAGCTGCTGAAGGCTGAGATCTGCAAGGAAAAACAGCAAAGAAACACTTATTTAAGGGACTATGAAGAAGCCTTGACCACCATTTTGGAGAAGATGCGGCTTCTCTCTTCCACCAACTCAAGGTAGCTCACCAATGGTGGCAAGGAATACGACCAGAAAGAACATGCTGCTTATTCGGGGGAGATTTGATACGTTCATCTTCTTGAAGGAAAAGGATCTCCTCTTGGGGTCAACGCAGTTGCTCTTATATCCCCAGAGGCCAAAAAAACCGTTCCTTCATGCAAATTACTTGCACCTTTAACTTCCGTCTCTGGCTGGTGGAACCACCACAAGAACCCCCACTTGCACCTGCTAGGCAGACTGTGTCTCTGAAGGGTCTTCTAAATTGTACCTGCTACCCATCACTAACTTCGAAGAAATTGGAGCAGAGATGCTTGAATTGAATAAGAGCTGAAATGTTTGAGAGCTCAGACACTCGACTATGCTCCAGGAAATTTGGGAGGAGAACATGAAAACATCTGGACAGACAGCTGTCATTCAACACCCACCAAGCAAAACCTAGGCTGGAGCATTTCACTGTTCTCCATATCATTTGGAAAAAATATCCTGGCAAGAATTACTCCTGGCAAGAAATTGTAAGACTGGTATGGGTTGACCATGATTGAGATAAGGTCCAGCAAGCCTTCATTTCAAACTTGACCTCCTTCTCATCTTTCAGGTATTAAGTGCTACCTGGACTACCTGGAAATCTTGAATACATTCTATTCTTCGACTAGCATGGTCACATTTCAATTCTGTGGTTCCAGGTTAAGTTCCAAAGCTGCATGGAAGTAAAGGAGATAGGTTCCACACTGGTTTTTTTCCCCTACTGCTTCTTTCATCCTTCCAGTTTTCTCCCTAAAGTACCTCTTTGATACCATTCTTTTTCATTCCTTCTTTCCACAGTTCCGTGGAACTGTGGTTTCATAAGAAGAGCAACAGCAGCATCTGCTGGTTGTATACTTTTCTCCATCTTTGTTCAAGAACCTTCGTTCTACCCGTCTCCTCGTTCTGCCTCCTCCTCCTCCCTCTGTTCCCAGTAACACACTCACAAATAGGAAACTGCGTATTAAAGGAGGAACGGTATTCATATAAAGATATTCGAGACCGTCTTCTGCCGCAGATTGCCTCCCATCGACCGGTACGCTCCCACAGAGCGGGCCTCCTCAGGGTGCCGTCGGCCAAACAGTGTCGGCTGGCGACCCCCAGGGGGAGGGCCTTCTCTGTGGGAGCCCCCACCCTGTGGAACGAACTCCCCCCAGAGATCCGGATTATTCCGGATCTCCCCTCCTTCCGCCGNATTGGCCTAGGGGGGGATTTTATAGGGATTTTAAAGGGATTTTATAATATTAAACTTAATACAGGTTATTTAATATATATTTTAATTTGGCTTTTAGAGATATCTATTGTATTGTACTGTTTTTATTTACCTGTAAGCCGCCCTGAGTCCCTCGGGAGAAGGGCGGGGTATAAATGGGATTAAATAAATAAATAAAATATGAAGTGTAGGAGATGAGCAGGCTGAGCGAGCCTGGGGGTGGGGTTAAATGCGTCACCAGTTTGGAATCCTTATGTTCCTACAAAAAGCCCAAGACCAGCTTCCCCATGAATTATGTTGACCCTTATCTAGTTCTGCTTTGGCTCGATCGTTAGTAGGTCTGATTCTTGTGTAGAGGTAGCATGCAATAAACTTTCAGTGCTTGGAACCCAACTCTTCTTCCTGGTTTCTTGCACATGACACAGAGAACAGAACACGTAAGAGTGGTAGCAATAGACCCATCGTCAGGCACAAACAATCAGATCATAGAATAGAATAGAATAGAATAGAATAGAATAGAATAGAATAGAATAGAATAGAATAGAATAGAATAGAATAGAATAGAATAGAATAGAATAGAATGGACCTTGGAGGTCTTCTAGTCCAGTCCCCTGCTCAAGCAGGAGAGAATCTATACCGTCTCAGACAGGTGAATGTCCAGTTTCCTCTTAAAAATCTCCAGTGATGGAGTGCCCATGATTTCTGAAGGCAAGCTGTTCCACTGATTGATTGTCCTGTCAGGAAGTTTCTCCTCAATTCCAGATTGCTTCTCTCTTGGATCAGTTTCCAGCCATTGTTTTTCTTCCTTCCCTCTGGTGCTTTGGAGAATAATGTGACCCCCTCTGCCCTGTGGCAGCTCCTCAGATACTGGAAGACTGCTATCATGTCTCCCCTATTCCTTCTTTTCTTTAGACTAGCCAAACCCAAGTCCCGCAGCCGTTCTTCGTATGTTTTAGGTGTAGAGTTCAAAGTAACTACTTTATTATTCTAGGTCTATTTTACAGGAATCTCCCCAGAGGGGCAGCTTTTGTCTGAGAAAGTCTAGATAAAGTTGTGCTCTGTGTTTTGCAATGGTGGCTCCTAATTACGGTAGAATTAGAAGAACTAGTAAAATGCGAGTAGTCCATTCTTCTAGTGACCCTTTGAAGTTACAAGAGCACTGGAAAAAAAGTGACTTATGACTGTTTTTCACACTTTATGACCATTGCAGCATTCCCATGGTCACATGATCAAAATTTGACCGGCAGGCATCTGGCATGTATTTTTGACAGTCGCAGTCATGAGTAAAGGACTATCTATAGGTCATATGTTTGGAGAATTTGAGTTCAATGCTTTGCAGTGTTACAAATTTATTTGCAGATGCCTGACTTAGCACGAGAGGCGAAAGGTTTTTGTCTCAGTTCCCCATAACAATTAATCACCGTGAACCCAGTAAGTTTGTAGTCCCATGAGGCACAATAATAAACAGCATCATCTTCCACTTGAACTCCGTTGATCACCAGATTCCAGAGGTTCTGGGAGGCATCAGGGGCAACGCTGAATCTCTCTGGGACCCCATCTCCCCTGCCCTGATCACTGCTAGTATAATAGTAATACAGAAACCGTGGGGCGCCCCCTGGTTTCTGCTGGAGCCACCTGGCTCTCTCACGGTCAATGGTGTAGCCACTGTTCATTCTGCAAGGGATGCTAAATGCTAATCCTGGAGATGCAGACATGGAGGACAGTTGAGTTAATACCATCTGGGAATCCAGACCTGAAACAAAACAAAAATGGGGAACTATGTTAGTGTATCTTCTGGATGGATCTTGATGGAACAGACAAGCATCTTCTGCCTCCTTTGAAGACCTTCAACCAGTGGTCTGGACTCACCTGAGAAGAGCCATCCCAGCAGTATAACAGAGTAGGCCCACAGCATTGTAAGAGGGATGTGGACACTGTTGGCTTCTCATGCTTCTCTTCCCTTCCAAATGTCTTATATTGAATCCATGGAAGCAAATTCTCCACTTTTTATGCAAATATCATCAGCTGAACTCAGTTTGGCTCTCTGCTGCACCCTTCTGAGGTCACAAGATGACTCTTGGAGGACTTAGATTTAAGAGGAAGTTTCCCAGTCTACTTAAACTGCTCCACACCCAGAAATCATTTTTTCAATGATTATTGAAAAAAAACAAAAACAAAATATTGTTCTGTGCTTATCCTCAAGGTGCTTTTCAAATGGCAACTTGACTTTCTTGGTTTTTCCTTGAAAACGTTTCATTTTTCATCCGTGCATGCTCAGGAGTTTATCCTTCATCCCTTTGAATTAGTCAAGTCAAAGAGCATTGTTGGCATCCATTTTGTCATCTAAGGAGGCTTCCCAGCAAAGTGTGTATATTGGTATGTGAGAATGACCTTGGGGGACAGAAGGAAGAACTGCAGACTGGACAATGGGCAGATAAGAGGCAGCTGAGCCCACAGCAGGAATGGGGACATTGGAAATACCTCAGAAGGAACCCTCTCTAGATTCTTGAGCCATAAAGATGATGGGAGAAGAAATGTACTTTCAGGCTTGCAAGATTGATCTCGGCTTTATGAGGCAGTCCCAAGAACAAGCATGCCCACATGAGAAAGATTGTTCTGTACCACAAAGTTACATTAACAGAAGTCTTGGAAGTCTAAAAATATACTTCTCCCATGTGGCTTTCATCACACAAAGAGGATCTCTTCTGAGATGTTTGCCATTCCCACATTCCTCCTCTCTCCAAGGTCATGCTCACATACCATTACACAGTGTGATTGCTTTTGCAGACCACCTGATGGACTTCCTTGTGTTGTTGATTGGCAGGAGGAAAAACAGACTGCTGGACTAAAGAGGTCAAGGGTCCCATCCAGCAGGACACCCTTTTTCTGGCCATGATATAATGGTAGCCAGTGAGCTGAATGCCCAAGGAGTTTGGAATACTCAATTGTTCCCACCTGTAAAGAATCCATAGTGAGGAAGTCTCCATCTCAAGGAGGCTTAGGGTGCATTTTAATATGTAGAACAGTCTTTGGAAAACCCTCCTGGTCCAAACTGTATTTCATTATTTATTCCAAAAATTCCATGTTTTTATTCCAAAACAAAACAAGTGGAGGCCACATCTGGAAGGCTTGACCCTCTTGATTCCTTAAAACTGTCTTTGTGGTGTGGTCCAAAAATATCCACCTACGGTCTCATTCATTACGGTCTTCCTTGTAATAAGAGGAACCCAAACTTCTGAAGCTGGTTCAGTTCCTGCTGTGAGGTTTTTATCGCGGTTTCCCATCCCAATGAACAGATGTGCCACCCGCTGCCACTCCAAACAACACAGTAATAAGTCGCATCGTCTTCCACCTGGCTTTCTGTGATGATCAGGGACATGGTGTTTGCTGACTTTGAACCAGAGAAGCGGGCTGGAGTACCGCTGGCCCTGGTGCTGGTGGTATAGATCAAGAGCCGTGGAACTTCTTCTGACTTCTGCTGGATCCATAGAGGGTAGCTGTTATCTGTGATGGTTCCAGCACTGTAGCTACATGACAAAACGACTGTCTCTCCTGGGGCTACCAACTCTGGATCTTTCAAGTTCTTCAGCTGCTGGACACTGAGATCTGAAAGAGATTATGAAAAGGGGAAAAGAATGGGACTAGATCACAGAAGAAAATATTGAATGATTGTATGCTGGAGACCAGAGCAGGTCATCAGATCCCTGTAAGGTTTATCTCTCCCCTAGAGGAATTAAAAGCCCCTCACTGAAGGACGAGAGGAGGGTGAAGAGCAGAAGGACCCAAGCCATGATGGAAAGACAGCGTATCTTCTGGAAGGATGGGAATCACTAACTGGCCTCTTCCAAGACCCTCTTAAACCCCTCTGAGGGCAAGTCTGCAAATCCTTCATGCAAATTGATTGCTTTTTAAGTCCAGGCTGTGGGTGAAAAGGTGAATAAAATCAGCAAATGGCTTTTTGCTGCCCCCTTTTGGATGGAAGTGAGGAGAGAGATGGAGGTGATGGATACGGAGATGGATTCCTTTATTTTTTTTAACATCAAATTTTTATTAATTTTATCAAAATGTAAGATACAAAATAAAACGTAATGGAAAACTAGGGGAAGGAAAAAGAGAAAATGTGAGGTGGAAAGGGAAAAGGGAGAAGAAGAAAAAAAGCATTGACTCTCGACTCCTTTTGGTGCAGGAGAATAGGATGATGACATGAAAGCTCAGCTTTTTTTTTTCTTTTATACAATAGTTTATACCAGCTATTTCTTTAAAAACAAACCTACCTAATCGACAAGAACAAAAACAAAATTTCATTTTTCCCCCCATCACAAGCACAAAATCTGGAAGTGATTTCCAAATAGAAACAAAATTAAATATATTGTCTTCTTTGGATAAAAGGAATCGATTTAACAAGAGATGGATTCCTTTATAATAACAAGAGCAATAGCAAGAGCGTTTACACTTATATACCACTTCCTAGTGCTTTATAGCTCTCTCTAAGAGGTTTACAGAGTCTGCATGTTGCCCCCAACTATCTGGGTCCTCATTTTATCCAAGGATGGAAGGCTGAGTCAACCTTGAGCCAGATAGGATCGAACTCCTGGCAGTTGGAGTTGGGAGAGACTTTTGAGGTCTTCTAGTCCATCCCCTGGTTGAGCAAAAGATCCTATGCCATTATGGACAAATTGATGTCCAGTCTCTTTTTGAAAACCTCCAGTGATGGAGCACCTACAACCTCCATAGGCAAGCAGTTCCTCTGATTAACTGTTCTCACTGAGATGGAGAAAGAGAAGGAGAAGGAGAAAGAGAAAGGAGAAAGAGAAAGAGAAGGGAGAAGAGGAGAAGGAGGAGGAGGAGAAAGAAAGAGAAAGAGGAGAAGGAGAAAGGTGGCTAGGAATAAGCTGTTCTCCATTTCTTAAGACCATCAAGAAGGAGACATTCAGTGAGCTGGAGAAAGGGAGTGGTGGGGTTGAAAACTAAAGAAGCAGAAGTGCTTCTTCACACAACACTACAACTAAGTTAGAGAATCAGCTACCAGAAGATGGAAGGGGGGAGCCACCAACTGAGATGACTCAGCTTCAGCATGTAACTCAAACTAACCACAGGATAAGACCATCAAAGGACAGCATCATCAAATCAGGGCAAAGAATGCTGAACCATCTCAGGTCCTTCCAGGAGACTTGAAATTATTCAAAGCACCCAAAGCATTGATGGTGTGGCTTTGGTCAGTAATTAAGCACGAACAGTTGTAGAAAGGGAAGTGATGTACAGTATTTTGGCAAGTAAGTCCACTGCTTTGGAATGGGGGTTCCTAATTGCAAGAGAAATAGAAGACAGAGCAAAATATCTGCCTATGTTTTGGGAATTGAGTTCAGTGCTTTGTGCTTTCACAGCTTCATCTGCGGATGCCTTACGTAGTGTGAACAAGCAAGAGGTTTTTGTCTCAGTTCCCCATAACAATTAATCACCGTGAACCCAGTAAGTTTGTAGTCCCATGAGGCACAATAATAAACAGCATCATCTTCCACTTGAACTCCGTTGATCACCAGATTCCAGAGGTTCTGGGAGGCATCAGGGGCAACGCTGAATCTCTCTGGGACCCCATCTCCCCTGCCCTGATCACTGCTAGTATAATAGTGATACAGAAACCGTGGGACGCCCCCTGGTTTCTGCTGGAGCCACCTGGCTCTCTCACGGTCAATGGTGTAGCCACTGTTCATTCTGCAAGGGATGCTAAATGCTAATCCTGGAGATGCAGACATGGAGGACGGTTGAGTTAATACCATCTGGGAATCCAGACCTGAAACAAAACAAAAATGGGGAACTATGTTAGTGTATCTTCTGGATGGATCTTGATGGAACAGACAAGCATCTTCTGCCTCCTTTGAAGACCTTCAACCAGTGGTCTGGACTCACCTGAGAAGAGCCATCCCAGCAGTATAACAGAGTAGGCCCACAGCATTGTAAGAGGGATGTGGACACTGTTGGCTTCTCATGCTTCTCTTCCCTTCCAAATGTTTTATATTGAATCCATGGAAGCAAATTCTCCACTTTTTATGCAAATATCATCAGCTGAACTCAGTTTGGCTCTCTGCTGCACCCTTCTGAGGTCACAGCATGACTCTTGGAGGACTTAGAATTAAGTCCTCAGTCTACTTAAACTGCTCCACACCCAGAAATCTGCGATGATTATTGGGGAAAAAAAACATTGTTCTGTGCATATCCCCAAGGTGCTTTTCAAATGGCATCTTGACTTTCTTGGTTTTTCCTTGAAAACGTTTCATTTTTCATCCAAGAAGCTTCTTTAGCTTTTTTGGACGAGAACTCAAGAAGTTTCTTGGACGAGAAGAGGAACATTTTCAAGGAAAAACCAAGAAAGCCTAGTTTCTTTTTGAAAAGCACCTTTGGGACAACCGTGGCCTGGATGAGTAAGATGTGTGTTCTGTGCATGCTCAGGACTTTTGCCATTCATCCATTTGAGGACCTAGTCAGGTCAGTGAGCATTGTGGGAGTCCATGTTGTCCTGTAATGAGGGTTCCCCGCAAGATGGGTGTAATGGTTTGTGGGAACGACCTTTAGAGTCAGGAGGAAGGACTTCAGACTGGACAGTCATCAGATAAGAGGCAGCGGAGTCCATAAGAGGAATGGGGACGCTCGAAATAACTCAGAAGGGACCGTGTCTAGTTTCTTGGGCTGTAAAGGTGATGGGGGAAGAATTGTATTTTCATACTTGCCAGATGGATCTCAGCTTTGTGAGGCAGTCCCAATAAGAAACATGCCCCGTGAACAAGTTTCTTTTTATCCTAAAGTTATGTTAACAGACATTGCAACTCTGAAAGCGTATGTGTCCCATGTCTTGTTCAACACACAAAGGACCCCACAATTTTAAAAATGCTTTTAAGAGATTGGGGAATGGAAACAACAGGGGTGCGAAGGTATTCCTGCTTTGTTTTTCAGGATGATTTATATTCTCTCTACATTACATAGCCGTCAAAATAATACACAGTCCATAGACCCAGGATGGAGTAACAACACGGTTGGGGTACCCTTCTGTCAGGAGGAATTTAGCCAGAGAGAAAAGATGCAACGGCTTGATTGTCACTCATGAAATCTTCCTAGCTCTTGTTATGTAAATTTTAGCGCTGTGTTACTATGGTTACCAGCTAAAAGCATCGGTTGGGCAACAGTGCCATCTAGAGATATATAAACCACTCCTTGCCTTATATGGAAAGTGGTTTGTGGTTCAGCTTGAGTAAGTTGAGTCCATTCCCTTGGGAGGACGTGAGGAAGTGACAGGCCATGTGGGGTACTTTCAGCTGGGTTTACAGGAGGCCAAATAAAATGACTATAAGGAGCAACAATAGGGTAAGATGAGACTTAAAACTGCCACGTTGTCCAGGAGCAGAGTAAAATTATTCCAGTTCTGTATTTCTTTATCTACCGTTAGATAAAGCGAGGCAGCAAATTTTGGCTTGGTATCTGTATAACTCAGGGGTAGGTAACCGCGGCTCTTTTATGACTTGCGGACTTCAACTCCCAGAATTCCTGAGCCAGCCATGCTGGCTCTCTAGTTGCTGGACGCTAGGACCTATAAAACAACAAGGACATGGTTGAATTGTTGAGGCTGCAACTGACCATCCGTGTAGGTTTGTGCCTTTGTATGCATTAGGGCCAGATAATGTTCCACCAAAGGAAATTTCACTCACCAATGGAGATCAGGATTGGGAAGAGAAGCAGCAGCCATGACATCATGGACAAAGAGGAAGAATTAAAACTCTTCTTGGTAGCAAGAGTTCACTCCTTGTCCTCCTATCACTATCTTTTAAATCCACAGAGAACTGCCTCTTCATGCAAATGAGTGGGTCTTGAATTAACACTGTCAGTCATTGGAAGGGTATTAACCAACTCTACAGTGTGGCTATGAATTTTGGATCATGTGTGTGCTTTCATGCTCTGTAGTCACTGGATACTAGGATCTAAAAGATAAAGAGATCGAAAAATGCTTATGAAATGAGGGGTCCTTGGCACTCTCTGAGCTTGGTTGTTTTCTTACAGATGTTTCATTACTCAAACTAGACAACGTCATCATGGCTAGAAAGGAGTGGGCTTTGTAGTGTGGAAGAGAAGGGAGGAGGAGGAGGAGGAAGAGGATTTGAGGGTCTTTGGTGCTCTCTGTGCTTGGTTGTTTTCTTACAGATGTTTTATTACTCAAACTAGGTAACATCATCAGGACTAGAAGGAAGGGGAGTTGCAGAGAAGAGGAGGAGAACGAGAAGGAGAAGAATTCTTAAAATAAATTTAATGCCTCCCTAACATTGCAGAAGAGAGTTCTCTGTGGAAGTAAAGAGGTAAAGAAATGGGCATAATTTTCAAGCTAGAAGTAAAATGTGAGGACGCTCATACAAGGGTCAAGAGAAAAAATATGGGATTACATGTTCCATCCAATCAGAAGCAAAGAGGAATATATTTTTCCAAAGACAATTTTTCCAGAGGTTCCAGGAACTGGATGACATCTCAACAATGCTTTGCAGTCTCCATCTGTGATAGCTGATGAGCAGTTTCACTGATTATGTGCCCTCAAGCTGGGGTCAGACAAAGTAACCATTTAGATCAGAGGGTCTTCAAATGTGGCCCTTTTATGACTCATGGACTTCAACTCACAGAATTCCTCAGCCAGGCATGCTGGCTGAGGAATTCTGAGAGTTGAAGTCCATGAGTCATAAAAGGGCCACGTTTGAAGACCTCTGACTTAGATAGACCTTCTCTAGAACTATCTGCCCCCGACCGGAAAAACTCAAAACTTGTCTCTTTTTAGTAAGTTTTAGGATG